CGAAATTATACGCTTTGTGCAGTCCCAGGCGGAGGTGATCCACGTAGGCCGAGAGCGTCTCATGTCCTGTTTCAGCGGTCGCTGGGGACCTCGGCCGGCAGTCGCGGCTCTCTCCTCATCATAGGGAGGTACGGGCTGCAGCCTAGCTGTCAAGCACTGCACTCAGATAACCGAGGAGCGCCTCTAAGCGGCGCTCGCCGTATTGCACAAACATTCACTGGCTAGCACATAGGTGTTCTCTGACGCCTTACACATACATCTCTGGGCCCAATGGTTGTGTGTGGCGCGGCGGGGGTGAGGTCCTGACCGTGGCCGGCCTGTTCGCTGTGCCCCGCCCAGCCGGCACGCTCCACCGACCCCGGACGGGTGGTGGGGAAAATGAAACGCTAGAAAATGTATGTCTACAACATGACCTAAGCAATGATCATTTTTGCAGCACTCAATATTTCGAGTTGTTCTCACCTCCAAGACCGTATCTCTCCAGGATAAGCAGAGGACAGCAGATGGGGGTAAAGCATTTTAGTGACGTTTCTTCATAAAAGGTTCATAGCTTCTAATAATGAGTTACAATCATTTCCATCTTGTTTTGGTTGAAGACAGATTAAGTGCTGGATCAAAACCAACTGCTATTTAGTTGCATCATTTTAAGGTCTTAAGGTCACATCGTTTTAAGACCTTGAGGATGAAAACAGCTCAAAATATTGAGTCCTATACATGTAATCATTGTTTAACACTTCAACGTCGTTTAACCAGCGCCTCTTAAAATGTTGCAGACCGTCAACTCAGATGAGAACTTTGAACTCGCAACACCAAAAAAACCAAGAACATGGAAAATTGTTGATAGCAAGCACAAGTTATGACCACAGAAAATATAGGAAGAAATCCGTGGAGACATAGTTCTGAAAGATAGAATGGGTAAGTTTTATGGGTTTGCCGCTCCTCTGTCTGCCCCTCAACGAAAACGCAAAGCACCACACCTCCTTTGCCCATATTCACATCGAATTTTGACAGTGGAACCAGTGTCTGTTTCATAACGTCGTTTAAGCAGTTCCCCCTGCTATAATGAAGGTCGGTGCTGTCCGAAAAAATAACTCCAAACTCATCACACAACACATACACAGGTTTAGAGGCAGGGGAGTGTACCCTCCCATCCCCCTCACTTTCAGACCGGGGGCAAGGTACCCAACTTAGCCCGGGCAGGTATATAGAAAATGAGATAAGTGCTGCTGTATCACATTCTCCACTGTTTGGGACTGATATGTAAAAAGGCATCATTAGAAAGCGCGTGGTCGCTTTCAGCCCAGGTCCCATCAAAACGTCAAACTTCAAGGGCCACTGCCACGATAAAAAAGCTCCAAAAGCAGTTTCACCTTAGGGTGTGACATTGACTCTGGCGTTTTTGGAAGCCCAGGCTGTAATCGACAACGGGCTTTCTAATGAGGCCTGCATTGCCTAAATCCGTTTCATACCGCGATAATTTGAGACTACCCCGCCATTCGACTTTAATTTAATTTTTCCACTAGAAGCGACCTTGATGCTTGACGTTTTGATGTCCAATGCTGAAATCAACAACGTGATCTCTAATGACGTCTCATTTGTATAAATACGTCCCATGCAGCGGAAATGTACCGCTAACCCGTAGGAGCGCAACCAGAGCGCTGACAAGGGAGGCACAGGGTTGACAAAAGACCCCATGACAGTAAAAGGGCCCCCAAAATCGCCGACCGTGGCCTAGTTGTTAATGAGAGTATGCTTGTTATATATATATATATATATATATATATATATATATATATATATATGTGTGTGTGTGTGTGTGTGTGTGTGTGTGTGTGTGTGTGTGTGTGTGTGTGTGTGTGTGTGTGTGTGTGTGTGTGTGTGTGTGTGTGTGTGTGTGTGTGTGTGTATGTGCGCGTGCGTGCGTGCGTGCGTGCGTGCGTGCGTGCGTGTGTGTGTGTGTGTGTGTGTGTGTGTGTGTGTGTGTGTGTGTGTGTGTGTGTGTGTGTGTGTGTGTGTGTGTGTGTGTGTGTGTAGATGTATAAAATTCACACTCTATTTATATTTCTAAAATATGATTTTTTCTTTCCATAGTTCGAATAGAAGCCAGACGCTTTCGAGAGGTGAATTCTGCTCGACGTTCAGAGTGGAAAAAACTGCAAAAATTGTGTTTAACGCGACTGCGCGAAATAAATCGCCGTCGCCTTTCATTTTACAGTGATCCATTTCACTCTTTATAAGCCGATAGCGCTAATAAACTATGTCAGAATTTTGATCTTGATTGTACAGATACATTAAGGACTTCACGAATATGGCTTTGAGATAAAATAGGGCATGAGTTTGTATTGACAAAGCAGAGCCTGTTTTTTGCCAGAAGTTTATATTAACAAGGCAGGCCGCGAACCTAGACCGTTTCTAGGTCTTTCCAGACCCCTACCGTGTCTGGAAGGGACTTGAGTATTTTCCCGTCTCGAAATAGGCCATTTCCAGCCCAAATGGGCCCTTCGCGGACACGAAACAGTTCTCTTCTGAGCTTGAGATGACCCCTTCCGGGACCAGACATGGGCCCTCTACGCTTGCTTTGGTGACACAATAAGCAAGTACTACCATATACAGGTACTACCCCCTTTGGACCACCTGAAATTATGGGGGGAGGGCAAAAGGATGCAGTTGCCCCCGCCTCAAAAGATGGGGGGCAGTTTGCATCCGCTGCTCCCCCCCCCCCCCCCACCCCCTCCCCGTAGCTTTGAGCATGCACGCTCGCAAATCTTAACAACAGCAAGCCTCGACGCCAAGCGTTGCATTGTCCGTAGCGCACACAGCGCCGGCCAAGCGGCTAACATTGAGCCTTGGCCTGCGGGTGTACAAAAGCGATGGCGCTTCTGAAGGAAGCACGTTTGAAAGCTTTAGGACATCGAATCTTGCCTTTAGAATATAATCTGGGCTTATATTTCACCTGCGCGATTTTTAGATTGATGATAAGATTGGACTGGCCCTAACAGCACCGCGAATTGGTGCTGGAGGCTGGTGGTGAAACCGGAAGCGTTCTCCAGTTCAGTTCAACTCGACTCCAGTTCAACTATTTTTCTCTGTTCTTCGGAGATATTGAGGACCCCTGAAGAAAGATTGTAGATCGAAATGGAGTCCATAACATACATGGACATGGCTATCTCATGTTAGTCTTAAATTGCTTTGCATTCAGTCAGGACTGATCACTGAGAAAACGATATGGCATGGGTTTGAGCGCAAGCGCTCGCAAATTTTAGCAACAACAACCTCGACGCCCGGCATTGCAGTTTCCACAGGCCGCGCGGCGTCCGCCCCGCGGCTGTGATACTGAACGATGGCCAGTGGGCAAATGACAAAGATGACGCATCATCAGGAAGATGGCCGGTGAGATAGGTAAATTTACAGGCAGTCTTCTGGTAGTACAAAAGCAAGCTAAGCACAACTTAATTTTGAAAAAGTGTGCGGGTGGGGGGGGGGCAGCTAACATTGCTGGTTCAACACCTTGAAAAGAGGGGGCCGTTGGTCCCTTGCCCCCTCCCCCCCCCCCCCTGTTCCTACACCCATGAACACACGGTATCATGTGTTCTCGAGTGTGCGCCAAAGACACGTCAATAATGGCTGGTGATACTAGCGTCCATGGAGGGGCCGGCAGGCTAGATGGGAGCATCATGACTCGAAAGCTCAATCCACTGTCACGAAGGACATTGTGAACACGCTGGCAAAAAGGCACGGCGCTTCGCGTTCGCTCGCTGTGGAAAGCATGCGATGTTTGACATGAAGACACCGCACCATGTGTTGGGTAATCCGGGAATGGCGCCAGTTTGCTGGCGACCGTAACTCTAACAACTTCCTGTGAATCGCTGGCGGCGCTCTATTAGCTTCGACGAGCAAACTGGCCGCTAGAGATGTCCGAAGAGCACCAGTGATCACTTCCACCGCAGCGTGATGTACCGCATTGAAGGCGCTTTTAGCAGAATCCGAGCCAAAGTCATATATGAAGCAAGCATAATCCAGCACGAGGGCGGATCAGAGAGCGGCCCAAAAATACAAACGCTTTTTTGTCAACCCCGTAAGATGCTCGCGCGACATATTTTAGAATGTTCAGAGATTTTAAGCACCTCTCCCTTAGGGTTTTAACAGGGTGGCGGTGTGTCCGATGGCTATCAAGGTGAATTCCGAAAAAAACGCACAATTGGTTGGAATGGTATCAGCTGCCTGTATAGCCGAATTTGCACTTTCGAACACTTTCGACGTCTACAAAGCGGACACCTTTTGTCTTTGCCGTTGAGAACAAGTCCCTTGAGCATGCCCCAAGCCTCCAGGCGCCATCTGCATCCGTCACTCCATAGTCGCTGCCCTTCGTGCGCATGACAAGATGGCAAAATCGTTGACGAAGAGGGGTCGACGGATGGATTGCTGGAGTGTGGTGTCAGCTCATCGATCATGGTATCACACTTAAACCCCTCCTTGGGTTATTCCATCAACGTGTAAACACGAATCTAGAAGGTGGTGGTCGACTCTCACGCAAAAAAGACGCTTCGACAAAAAGTTCTGCAAAAAAAACTCATGAGGCCACGAATGTCGTGCTTAAAGAGCTGGACGAGAAGTCCATAAACCCAGGTTGACTCGCGGGCTCTCTCAGCTTCGAAAAAAGTCGCATGGTGACGCTGTTTAAAGGCAGCGCTTGTAGCAGTGCCAAGTGTTGAAGACAGTCCGCCGTACAGCGGGTTGTCCTTAAAACGCACTGAACTTTTTCAAGAAGCGTTTCTCCACTAAGTGCCATGACAATCTGACGCTTACCACCCATTAGCGAAGGGTTTTACCGATTGGTAACGCACCACACTCCCCTCATTTCTGCACCGTGTGACAGTTTTTTGCTTCTTTAAGCGACTCCGAAAACTCCGCACCCTAACTAGTGCGAAAACGCAAAAGTAATGCATGTGAAGAGGCCTATCCTTCTGTGTACCTTTGGCCACTGCCTACCACTCAAGTAGAAATTCGTTTATCACACAGATGTTAAAATGTTATTGCGATACAAAAACAATAAATTGCACGCAGACACTCGCTGAACCTAATATCTAACCAAAAACCATGTTGCAGTCCTCAATGAGCATAACCGACCATCTTAAAACGCAAAAGCGATTTTCTTGCAGGATGATATGTGGTACCTCTGACGCGTAACCGCAGATTTTGAGTCTAAAAAAGTTGTCGCCGCTGAAATTTACGCCGGTTGTTAGGATGATTTATAAAACTCGGTAAGAGGAGGGTATATTTTTGTTGCACTTGATTTTGGGGAGGGAGCGGCGACCATCTTTTTACAAAACTGGCCTCGGTTCATTATTTTACAGCAGCGAGCTGAATGTCATCACACAACGCCGAGGCTGTACCCGCACCGTTTGTCACAAAACACCGAGGTCTCCAGTTTATTTAACTTTTCACGTACACAATTTGCGTGGATATGAATATCCGTCGATAGCGCTATCCGTAAAGAAGTTTACTTAAGTATAACTTCTTTTTAAATACGATTAAATTAAGGCGGCGTTGCAGGCAAGCCTCCTGGTTTTCAGGGCAGACCGACGCCTGGAACATCCACAAAGTATCACATTGTCTTACCCATAAACACCTAGCCGCACGTTAGTGCTCGCATCACTCTTAACCGTAAAGCGACCATACAACTGCACAGAAGTACACAGCAAATTAATTAACGGACACAATGTTCAGGCGGCAAATGTCAGCCGAAGCAGAACGACCGCGCGATGATGACGGGCCCGGCGCGGACCGGCGCCAGCGCTCAGGTCTCACGTTACACGACAGCGCCACCAGGAGCTCCGTCGACCGGCCGGACACCGGCCATTCCCACCATCGCCAGCGGCACCCAAGGCGTGTGGCGCCACAGCGCCATCTCTGTCCACTTCTGTTACGACTAGACTGGTCCACGGCTGCCGGCAGCGCCGCGCCCGGCGGCGGCCGCCGTCGCAGTCAAAGCTTCCAAGCGGCACCGCTAGGGCGTGTTTCAGAGCACAGATTCGGACACCGGCTAGCGAATGCCCAGCTGCTTTTTCCGCTCAGCAATCATCTGCTGGAAGTCTAGTCTGAAAATAGAACAAACAATGGAAGCAAGCGAGGAAGTCGAATCATGGCGCCGAGGTGCTATCATTGAGCGGAAACTATCGGATCAGACGATACACGTGCACAAAGCAAAACCATGACGAAAACCATGCATGACGGGAAGTGGACGAGAACATAGAAACACAACTAAACCACAGTAAAACACAGTAAAAGCGCCAGCAGCTGACTAGGACTTATGCTGAAACGTGGGCAGTTTCGATATTGGTCAAAACTGTACATTTACGTGTGAAAAACAGAGAACAGCAACGGTGTCTACGATAGGTACAGGCACAGATTAAACGCTCAGTGCGCAATTCTAGCCTTCCTCATAGCCCAATTCATCCGAGAAATTCATCACCACAGACGACTATATGCAATACTTCTATTACCATTTACAGCGCGCACACAATGTTAGCCAAGATTCAGACCCTGAAGTGGCACAACAGCAGCTCCATATTAAAACATGTAAACACGAAGTTCAAGCAAGCACGCAGGCATGCGTCTGCGTATGGAACCCATTTATTTGTACACCTCGTGAAAATACAACAGACTGACATTTAACAAAGCATACGCAGTTCTGCAAAGGTATGGCACTCAATCAGCACATATTCAGAATGGATCTTCAAATTAGGCGACGGAAATCCTTACACTTTCAACAACGTCTTTGCACTTTTCAGATCGGCAACATACATCCAGCACAATGGAGCAACAGAGAGAAGCCACAGTGCAGGCTCAAAACAATGAACCAATTATACACCACCTCAGAGAGCAGCTATACCAATGTCACGCATGCCACCAGGCAGCGCCGCTGCCTGCGTTTCCTTGCCAGGGTCCCGAGCCCTCCCCAGCTCAGCACAGGGGAAAGCGCTGCCCAGAAGCAGCCACTGCATGCTGTGACGTGCGAGGTGGACAGAGGTGGTGATGGTGCAGGGTGCACACATGGCCCACCCACACCTCCGCCCGACCGCCGGTCACCGTGGCGGGGTACCGCGTGGTCCACCCACACCTCCACCCGACCGCCGGTCACCGCGGCGGGGTACCGCGTGGTCCACCCACACCTCCACCCGACCACCGGTCACCGCGGCGGGGTATCACGTGGCCCACCCACACCTCCACCCGACCGCCGGTCACCGTGGCGGGGTATCGCGTGGTCCACCTACACCTCCGCCCGAACGCCGGTCACCGTGGCGGGGTACCACGTGGACCCACCCACACCTCCGCCCGACCGCCGGTCACCGCGGCGGGGTACCACGTGGCCCACCCACACCTCCACCCGACCGCCGGTCACCGTGGCGGGGTACCACGTGGCCCACCCACACCTCCGCCTGACCGCCGGTCACCGCGGCGGGGTACCGCGTGGCCCACCCGCATCTCCGCCCGGCCGCCGGTCACCAGTGGCTACGAGACATGCGGCAGCGCAACGGATTACCTCGACTGGTGCCGCCCTTTACCTGCAGACTCTCTTTTATCTCATCGTATCTTAGCGTGAAAGCAGAGAGGAGGGTTAGTTGTCTAATCGTTCCTGAAAACTGGAAGGAGAGAGTGTTAGAAGGGGCCCGTGAGTCTAGACAGAGCTGGAAGGACCTCGCACGAGAATGACGCGGACCAAGCGACATTATATCGCTGCTTCAAAAGAGAATGTGCGGCGCACTCCACGTGACTTGTCCTTTGGCAAATGGCCAATACTGCAGGAATCACCCACTAGCATGCAGAAGACAGTGCGCATGGTGTCACAATTGACGCTACGAGTCCTAGACACTTCTTTTGGAGACAACGTCATGTCACAGCGCAATGTCACACTGTCACAAAAATAGTTGCTAGCAGTTGCTTGAGCAAACGACCTTCGTATTCAGGCTAGGGACCTGAAGTACGGAGCAACGGAAGTGCTGCGAAATACCACCGTTACGACATATCTTGCGACGAGAAGAAACATAACCCCAGCCGAAGGACATGCGTCAGCTAGTTCCATCTTTGAAAAGTATGCCAATTATATACCATTAAGAGAATCTAAAAATGATGCGATATTACGATACCCCATCAAAAATATTGTTGCGCTTTAGATACAATATAAATGTATCAATCACGATACGCACAAGATCGTACCTACTGTTACTTGTCGCGTGTTCTATTAACCGATTTTTGAAAACGCGTGGTGACGAAAGCTAACGATGCTGCATCGTTAGAGAAATAATGCATTTTCACGACGGATATTAGGATCAGCGAGACAAATAGCTTGTGGCCAGCCTCACCAGTCGCAAAAATGCCGCAATCATATCGTACCGCAATTAACATAACATTATCAGCGGGGTGTAGGTTCGCTGTAATTGGTAATGGATACAAAGAGTCTCAAATTCCATTTGACGGAGGTGTCGTCAGGGTGCAATACCACGAGACACTTTTCATAAAAGCAGTCGGCCGACGTCTCACGATATTGGAGCTGTAAGCGAACAATCTCCCACCATTTCTACAACACGGAAAGTTGTCTGGCTGCGCAATCGGCACCACTCCTGGAGCCCCGCAGGCCGGCCCAATCCGACGCAGTGGTCTCCCACCAAACACGTGTCCCCACTCGTCCCCAGTAAAGTTCACCCCCCTCCCCCCCCCCCCCCAGGCACTGCTTCATCCCCGGCAGCAGGAGCGAGCGCGACCCCACAAGAGACCTCACGTGACCGGCGGCACTCACTGTTTGACACGGTCTGGGATGCACACGTGATCCATTGGCACCAGCTGACTGAGCTCGCGCAGGCCGGCGACGAACCGCAGCTTCCGGCTGAATTTGGAGCTGAAAAACATCACTGAGTTAGGCCGGTTCGGCTGGCCGATAATACCAGCAGGCCCGAGCACGGGCCGTAGAAGCCTGATACCATTACCATCACCGCGCGTGGTCCGTTGCCTAGGGACGAGCGGGATCCACAGGAGAAGCCGGTTGATTGATATATAGTGTCGGGGTACCGAACACAGATGAGGGAAAGGTTTTTTGAAAGGCACGCGGTAGTCATCAAACGAGCTGATGAAGGACGAGGCATCCTGACTCCATAAGCTGCATGACGTCATCAAACTACTGTTTGCACAAATGGGCGCGTAGTCGGAACATCACACGTGGTTTCTCCACAGCTATGAACATCAATCCAACACCACGGGCCGGTGGGCGGTTCAAAGGTCGTATGCTTCGCGGGCGGGAGCAGGCAGGACGGAGCCAAGCGCGTGCAGGCCCAGGCATACGGAAGTCTCAGCGCGGGCGGTAGGAGTGCGTCCAATTTACTGCGTGTCCGCGTATGCCGCATTATACCATATCGCTGACTACCCCACCGCACCGCTGAGCTTCACGTCAAAGAAAGCCGCGCTCTGGCTGACAACAGGCTGCAGCAGTCTTCCACCCACTGACCTGATGAAGGGCCGCGTGAGTGCCACGATGGTTTTGACCCAGAAGGTGGGATGCACCAGGTACAGCCCCTTGAGGTTCTTGCGCAGCCGGCGGTCGACCATCTGGTAGCAGCGCTTGAGCCAGCCGAACGAAGGCATGCAGGAGCGCTGAGTAGCGCCGTGCAGGTAGATCAGCACGTAGTCCTCGGCGATCAGTGCATCCAGCGTCGTCAGCACATAGCTGAGGCCGGAGAGCGGAAGGGGGTCACTCAAACAAACACATCGTCCATCAAACGGCCAACATGGGCGAGGCGCCCGCGGCACCGAGAGTAGACGGCATCAGGGGTGAGGCCTAGGTAGCCACAGATGGCGGGCGGAGACCAATGGCGTGCCAGTCTCCGGACGTGAGCGCGCGCGGCTCCTGCACCAGTATCTGGCGTGCGCGGAGACTGTCGGGCGGCTGATGCTGTCCGACAACAGGAGACCGACGCGCAGAGAAAAACGGTGGCTTCAAACAGCCCCGTGGCCGGCAGTGTAAGCGAGCTGTTCCGCGGTCATGAGCCGGCCGTCAAAACCTGGCGCTGTGACGACTGGCCGACCATCCATGAAGACTTCCAGGGCCATCAACTGAGCACCCCCCCCCCCCCCGCAGGCGATTTGTACCTAAGGACCAGCTGCGCAGTGCAAAGCCTGCGCAGCTTCACCAACGCAGGCTTTACACATGTGCCGCACGTCGCCTAAGCCATCCACTCACAGGAAAAGGTTGTCCATCACGTAGGAGTAGTCTCTCCGGCTGCGGTCAGGCAGGTAACAGGCGGAGAAGACAATGATGGCCTGGTCGCCCTCCAGGCCCAGGTAACCGCCGTGGGACAGCACCTGTCGGAAGCAACACTCGTGACCGGCGGAAAAGTGTCGACGCCATGGTACGCAGGCACGCGTTCATGGCCAACACGGCCCTGGAACAAAGCGACAACACTCTGCTGGCGGAAAAACAGCTTCGTCACAGTGACAAGAGGAACGGCACAAGGACGAAACTGTTTGCAACACGCGTCTCGTTAAACAGTTTGACACCACAATCTGCAGACCCTCCTTTCACTGCTTGTCACATGGTGTATCAACCGTGAATGGTAGGACAATTTAGTCACGTGACACCCCAAATACGTCGGCGTTATTAGCTCACACATTCAGCGCATCGCCCGATTTACAAGTGCTAACGTTGCTGACGCCGGCGCGGTGGCGCACCCCGTGTTTTGTCCGGTCGTGGCATTCCATGACGCACCTTTTTGTACGGTTCGATGACCTTCATGTCGATGCGGCGCTCCAGACCGGCCACCACGCACGTCCGCCAGGAGCGTTCGTTGTTGAGCTCCTCCCGAGCCGTGTACTCGGGAATGGGTTCGGCCGGAGGCAGACCTGGCGCACCGCGGCCCGGGCGTCAGCTGCCTCAACCTCGGCAAGTCGAGAACGGGCTCGGGTGTCCACATGAGGGCCGCAGGGGCATATGGACTGACGCCGGACCGCAATAATCCGCCAACGAGTTGATTGTAATTAGAACAGCGGCAGCATTGGCAACCACGCTTCTCAGCACATATTTCATAGCGTACTTGTAACAGTGAAAACCACAGCAAGCCACCTAGCACCAGTGGACAGCGATCACGAACATCACGAAAGAACATCGGCCATCCCACCCCCGCCGCGCTGACGAGCCCAACTGTACTGTGGTTCAGCTGGTGGCTGTGTTTTTGACGCAAACATTCTGTCATTCGGCAGAGTCCATGTTCGGTTGAACGCGATGCTTGTCATGACAACGGCGCCGACAAACTCGCACAGAGGCGTCAGCCGCCAGAATAGCGCTCCACACGCCGCGCACACCTACATCAATCGCAGCCGACGAACTGCAGGGCCTTGACACCACTGTCAGCAGGGAACACACCGCATTCAATGAGGCACACGCAAACGTCACAGGGCCAGGAGAGGCGCGTGCCGGCCGACTCACGCCCGAGAATGCTGTCCTCCAGCTCGTCGGGCGTGTCGATGTCGTCTGGCGTGAGCGTGTCGAGCAGGTCGGCCGTGGCCAGCGCGTCCGTGGGCGTCACCGGCTCCGTGTCGCTGTCCAGCTGGCTGACGGACGAGGTCGACATGCTGTCCTCGTCTTCCAGCACGTCGGCTGTAACGCTGATCTTCTTGCGGCGTCGCTGACTGAGGCTGCTCGGCCGCTCTGCGGTGACGGCGCGCAGCAGCAGGTCAGGGACGCAGCGGCAGTTCAGGGAAGCAACAGGTCAGGGACGCTGCTGCGCCGCTGGCGGTTCTCAAACTTTTGGCGTGCTTGTGCATTGCCCACAAGCCCTGCACGTGCATTACGCTGCTCTTGGCTTACAACAAACAATGCACGTAGAGAGACAGCTTTAACGTCGCATCGTCTCTGGGCCTGACCATCCGAATGTTGTAGGCGGATAACAGATGTCTGTATGCCTAAGTTGAATAGCTGAGACTTATAAAAGTTACGGAAAATGCATAAAAAGCAGGCGCTGTTGTGCCAGGATTGATCACTGATGTGCCAGGGATCAATCTGGATCAGCAACACGTTACACCGCAGGCTGTGGGTAAATGTACCACAAACGGAGACTCAACGCACTCGAGAGCGTACCACCATTTACAACCACTCAGTGGCGGGGTGCCAACACGACGGCAAAACCAACAAACATCAAAAGCAGCGTGCAGTTGTCCATGCTTCCTGTACCAGCTGCGCCACATGGAATGCCCCACACCTGACGGTGCTCCTCAGCCGCCAACGCGCGGCGCCGCCGTCCTCCACAGCGGCATCGCAGCCGTCGGCAGCGCGGCCCGCACCCACCTGCGCGCCGCTCGTGGCGGCCCGGCGGCAGCGCCGTCTCGCGGCCGCCAGCCTCGTCGCCGCTCGGCTGCAGGTCGGCCGGCGCCCCCTCGCTGACGCCGCTGTCCGCGTCGGCCGGCTTGGCCGAAGGTGCGCTGAGCGTGCTCTGGTCGCCGACCGGCTCCGAGTCGTCCAGACTGATAGCGGGCGCCGGCAGGCGGCGCTGGCCGGCCGGCGGCGCGGCGTCGCTCTCGGCGAACAGCGCCTCCACCGGCGGCCCGGAGCCGTCCAGCCGCCGCATCGAGCCACTGCGCCACAGCCTGCCGGTCGGCTCCTCCGGTGCGGGCGGCGCCGCCGGCTCCGGCAGCGAGGCCGGTCCGTCGCGCTCGGCGGCGCGCGCCACGTCCGGGTCGGCGCCGAGCTCGGCCGCCCCGGCCACCAGGTGTCGCGGGCTGGGAACTGGCAGGTCCTCTGGCTCCAGTTCCGCATTAACCTCTGCTTGCACGGTGATGACGTTTGGCGGCGCGGGCGCGGACGCGGGCGAGCGGCGCGGAGCCGGGGTCGGCGCCTGAGGCGGAGTGCTCCGCTGTGACTCGCACATGGAGCTACGCAACTCGGCCAGGATGCCCTCGCCCAGCAGCTCGGCGAACATCTCGCTGTGCGCCAGGATCTCCTGGATGTCCTCCTGCGTCAGGATGTCCTGCAGGCGGCCGCTGATGGTGTAGATGTCCTTGACCTTCTCGCGGTCGAGACACTCACGGATTTTCATGACGGTGCTATTCTCCATGCTGAGTGGCTCGTCGCCAAGCGGCGGGAGCGACGCGGGCTGCTCGCCGCCCGGTGTCTTCGGCGTCGACGAGCCGAGCACCGGGCCCAGGCTGGGCAGCTCGTCGATCGCCACCTGATCTCCGTCCTCGGCCATCAGCTCCTCGATCTCGCGCAGGTCGCGGCCGAAGCGGCCCGGACTGCCGGCAGCCGGTGCCGGCGCAGACGGCGCCACCAGTCGCCGCCGGATGCTGCCGTGCCGCTCCAGCTCCCCGGCGCGGACCAGCCGCTCGATGCGGTCGGCGTCCGGCTCGGTGACGGGCGCGGCGCGCACGCGGCGTCGGAAGCTCATCTGGCGCGACATGACCGACTCGTGCGTGCCCGGCATCGTGAAGTCCTCGTAGTAGTCGTCGTCAAGCGGCGTCATACTCAGCGACTCGGGCCCATGACTCAGCGACTCGGGCCCATGACTCAGCGACTCGGGCCCTTGGCTCAGCGACTCGGGCCCATGGCTCAGCGACTCGGGCCCGAGCGAGTCGAGAGCGCCGGTCGTCCGGCCGCCGCTCGCCAGGCGCGCCGAGTCGTCGCCGCTGAGGCCATTCTCGACGATGTCGCGCACGGTGCGACCGTCACCGCCGCGCCACAGCTTGGCAGGGTCGCCGGCCGGGCTGCCGCCACCGTTGGTCCAGACAGCGTCGCCCGCCGACGGCTGGGGCGGCGGCACGGCGACGGCGGTGCCGGTCACGTCCGCCATCGTGGTTGCGCCTTCTGAGCGGACGCGCACACCACACACAGGCTTGTCAGAAGTTGTGCACGCATACTTTTCACAAGCGGGCGCAGCACGGGGTCAGTGGCTGGCCGAGCGCTGCATATGTAACGATGGGCCCAACGGCATGCAATCGAGGCAGGGCGCTGCAAAAACGGATCATACACGTGCAGCAAAAACGACGGCAACCATGCGCTAAACGGCAGGCATGCGGCCGCCATCACGGCTGTAAACGCAGCCCACTGTGAAAAACGGGGGCGTTCGAGCGCTTCAATGAAGAACGCGCCACTCACCCCTCTGTCTGAGGGCCTCGGAGGACGACAGCGCCGACTTGAAGGTGGCCGTGTCCTCGTCCGGGTCGCTGGCGAAGCCGACGTCGGCGACGGACGCCGCTGCCGGGGGGCGCGGTGTCAAGCGGCGGACGGCGGCGGACAGGGCCGCGGCGGCGGCGGCCTGGAGCGGACGCAGGCCAGGCTCGCAGCCGGAGAGAGCCAGGCCAACACTCCCTCTCCGACGGCCTTAGAGCCACCGCCGCCGCCGCCCGGTCGCGGCCGGCACGTGATGCTATGCCCAGTGAAAAGCGGCACACGGCGGCACCACCCCGGCGGCGCCGACAGGGAAACGACCGTGTTCCGGCCGGTCGATCGTGACAATGCCCGCGAAATGACCGGCGGCCGGTCCCATTTCGACGCATTCTCCGCAGGTCATATTGTCGTCGCCGACGCTTGGGAACACTTACAACGGTAAAGCAATGTACAGATGATTGTTTTGTGGAAGACATATTATGACAGTTCATAAGAGGCGAAGCTGAAGTAGTACGTCCACATACAAATCGAGGGTTAAGGCAAATCGAAGGCGGAGCAAGAGCACCAATAACTGACAAGAAAAGGAACTGGTATAGTGACATCGGCGTGGCCCATCGGTGTTTTTGCATGACTATCACATGGCTAGATTATCGACAAGGAGCATGCTGTTTCTTGCAGACCCGTGGCGGTTTGAGAATGGGTCGGCGCGCGAGCCGGGTGGAACTGAAGCCGTGTAGAGCCGCCCGGCGCGGTGTACGTCGGTGCCGCGCCGCCCTCACCGGTCCGCTGCGGGCGCTGTGTGCGCGCGACGGCCGCCGGCTCGTCCAGGCTATCCGTGGAGCCGCTCTTGTCCGGGCCAGCGGCCGCAGTCAGTTCAGCAGAGCCGAGGCCCGGCCCGCGGTCCGTCCGCATCGTACCCTGCCGGCGAACAGCACGTCACGTCAGGTCCCGCTCCGTCTCCGGTGAGGTGCTACATCGTCCCTCGTTAGACACGGGGTGGTGTCAGGGCCATCCTCCTCCCGCCCCCCCCCCCCCCCCCCGCCCAGAGGTGCAGCGCCCGGGACGAGAGCCCACCGGCCAGAGCAGGGCTCGCACGCGATGCTCGGTCCGACCATATCGCATTCCGCCGCAGGACAGCACCCGCGTCATGTCTGCGCGCCCGACACCAGGGCCAAAGTGCCACTAAACGGCGCGCCGCCCACTGACCACCGCCGCACCAGACCCACCGGAGCATGGACCCAGCACTCGGGGTCTCTGGCACCTGATGTGTGGCCTTCTGCTGGCCGCGGCGTCTGTGGGCGCGACGCGTCGCCGGCCAGAGGGTGACCTCTGTAGACAGACGCATCACGGCCAATGGCAGACGGTCAGCAGTGCGATAGCTGACTGCTCCCTATCTGCTGCTGGCACCATCTGCCCCACAGCAGATCGCAATATATGATATATCCCTATCTGTTGGGGCAGCGGGCCCACCTGCCCACAGTGGGTGGAAACCACCGGGCCGGGGGAGTCGGAGCGTGGCGCCACCTCCTGCACCCCGCGTCTGCGCCTCGCCCGGCGACTTCATGCGGCCCCAATGGCAGCGAGCCGGCAGCGCGCGCCGCCCACAGCCGGGCGAGACACCGCCGCTGCGCCAGAGCCGTCCGACGCGTCTGCTCCGGCCGTCCGGCCGACCGCAGCGGCCGATAGTGTAATCGCGCCCGGCCGGCTGCCAGCGCAGCTCTGGTCTGCGGCGGCATGCTGTGGAGGAGGGCGGGGAGCGCGGGCGGTGCCACTGACGGCGGCGGGCAGTACCGGTGTGACTCATCAACCAGCCAGACAAGAGGCTCCGGGCCGACAACACACGGACCGTATGTAAATATTTAGTGGCGGGCATTTATCATTGGCACGCTAGACGGTGTAAACAACTGGAACGGCGGCAATGCAGCTCCCGGCGGCAGCTCGATGAGCAAACAGCTCAAATTATTCAAGAATACAGCTGGAGTTCGTGCCACCCAATAAAATAAACAACGCGCCGAACGAAAAACAAGCAGCAGGTTCACTCAAACAATGAGACCATGACCACCACCGACCATGAGAGCGGCTGCAGGCCCTGGTCAGCAACGTTTCGGAATGCTAACATTATTTCTATGCCAAGACACGTAAACAAAGCAATTACAATAAGCCTCGTCCGGCGCACGCCTGATCACCACACCGACGGCGGCGACCCTCGCGTACGCCGGCGCCCCGCCCTGCAGCCCGTCCCAAGCGTCGCCACGCCGTCCGTCCAGCTCCCGGCGACGGTCCCACGACCGGGAGCGGCTCCCACGCGGCGCCGCGGCCCGCCGGCTCGGCCCGGGTCACTGATCGACCCGGCCCGTCCTCCTGGGCGGCGGGGGGCGCGGCCGGCCCGCCCGTACCCCGCGGCCATCGACCGCCGCGCCGCCCGAACCCCTGTGGCGCGGTGCGAGAGTGCGCCGCCTGACGCCGTGCGGCCGACGACGGCGGCCGGCCAGCGTGTGCTCCACACGGCACTGCCGAGGCGTCGGCCCGCCGCAGACGCCGGTGAAAGGCCGCAAACGGGCGCCGGGGTCGTCGGCGCCCGAGTGTTGTCTCCGCCGCCACTCGAGAGGTCAGGCCACTTTCACTGACCGGCGCCGTGACCTCCACGGGCCGTGTCGCGGCTCGGGCCACGGCCCAGCCGCGGGTCATCCACGCCGCCGCGACGTCACGGACCACCACCGCCGACGCCTCTCGTCTCCCGGCCGGGGCGGCTCCCTTACCACGGAGCCGACGACCCAGATGAGGGGTCGCGAGCTCGCTCCGCCTCCACAGTCGGGCGAGGCCGATCGGCACGCCGAGCCGCCGCCGCCGTGGTGTCGGAGTGACCTGGAGGCAGAGCGCCGCCGCCGACAGCCGGCCGACGGCGGCAGACGCGGAGCGCCCGTCGTCGCACGGTCCCGTTACGAGCCTCATTTCCATGCAGCCACACAAGTGGCGCCGATGGATGGGGCGGCGCCGGGCGCACCTGGCTCGGCGCCGTGCTCCTCCGATCGCGCAGCCGCTGGCCCGGACGGCAGTCACCCCGTCCGAGCCAGATGGTGCCGGGCCGGCCGGAGGGCCAGCAGATGGACCGAGGTCGGGGCAGGGCACGCTGGGTGACGGCCGTCAGGTGGCGCTGGCGCCCTGAGATTAGGCGCGTTCGGCGATACGCTTTCAGTTGGGAATTGAGCAGCCAAGTACCGCCCAATAAATTCCAGAAGTAACTCGAAAGCCAGTCCATAGTCGTAAGGACGTCGTAGACCAGGTGGGGCATAGCGAATCTCCTTGTTTGTGAAAGGCTAACGTTAGCCATATGGTGATGCGCAGAAATAATTGGTTTCCAAACAGGTTTCCCTCACTCACGTTTTAGGACTTCCCTAAACCCCTGAGCCCGCTTTGAAGAATGTACCATCTGAAGTCACCCCGTAGTCGGAATGGTAAGTCTTGAACAGAGGGAAGTTTTAGCCGGTGAGCATTTATTAGGTCTCTTCAAACCGCCATATTAAACAGTAGACCTCGACCGACAGAGCAGGATGCCAAGAATGCCGTACCTTCTGCACTATCGCGCCATCATGACTCCTTTCTCGGAGACATCCCAAGGCCGCGGCCCACACCCAGGCCCGCTCCCTGACCGCAGCGGATGCCGGGCGCCCCCGGGACCACAGCGGTCATGGGGGCGCGGTCATGTGACCAGGCCGGTCGTCTCGGTTCGGGACGAGTCCGAGGCGACGACGGCTCCCAGGGCGGTGGCGCTCGCGGCGGCGCAGCCCTGTGTCGACAGGTGCGCCGCGCGGAGCCGTGACTCCCCGCCCGGCCGCCGCCCGGCACCAAGGACAAACACGGCGCCGGAAACTGCAGCCGATAGGCCGCCATTACGACACCGCTACGACGCGCGGCGTCGACACCATGCGAATCGCCGCGGCTGCTCCGGAGCCGACGGCGTCGCGTCTCGCAGCGAGCCGGGGAGCTCCGCGCGCGATGGTGTGGTAGGCGCGCGCCGCCGGCCGCACGGCGCTGCCCCGAGCAGCGGCGGCGGCAGCGACGGCGGCGGCGGCGGCGGCCGGCTCGCCTGCGGGCGCCACCGCCGGACGCGACCGCACGCTCGGCCGCCGCTCGCCGCCGATACGATCCGGGTGAACCTCGGCGTCCGGCGGGGACGAGGCGCGGCACGCCGGCCGGTGCGTGTAGCGGCCCCAGCGACACACAGGTCGGCATTCGACAGCGGACATGGGCGGACGGCAAACCACGCCAGGTGCGCCGAACCAGACCCATTCCAGCTGCAGTCAAAATCCTGCAGGCGCGCACTAAGCCTTTGTGAAAAGTGCCCTACTGTCCGCTCCTGCGTTACAGCTGGTTTGGTCCGTTCCACTCTTGACCTGTCAACGGCAAACAACTCGCTACACCCCGACCCCGCACAGCCTTAGGCCATGACCTATTGTCTGCAGCGGTTGTGTTGCGCAGTCGCAGCTCCCATCGCGGCACCCTCACCCCTCCAGCACAGCACTCACCCCTCCCACCACGGCGGCGAACCGGGGCCGACGTTTGCGACAGGCCATCCGTCCGGCCTCGTCCCGCCAGGATCGATCTGTCCACACCCGGTCCGACTCTCCAGCGCGACGCAACGGCCGGCAAAAAGCCGTCCACAGAAGCGGCCGGGCGCCACTGGCTCGCCACGGCGGACCCGTCCGGTCCCTGGTTGGATCAGACTAGGCCGGCCGGTGGCAGCAGGCAGCGTAGAGACGGCGGCTGGAGCTGCCTGGCCGGCCGGTCGGGCTCAGCTCACCGGCCTTGGAGCGGCGCAGGATCGGCAGCCGGCGGCTGGTGACTAGCGGCAGCCCGCCTGGCTGGCGGCTGGAGGAGCACGCCAGTCAGCCAGCCCGCCGCCCGGGCCGGGCTGGGCCGACCGACCGGCCGCCCACGCGCCGCACCGCGCCGAAAACAAACACGGCCGCGCCGCCGCTGCGGCACACCTGGCACCCCACAGAGACGCTCAGGGGGGGGGGGGGGACAGAGGCGCCAAGAGGTCACAAGAACGGGGGTGGGGGAATTAACCAGGTGCCTGCCGACACAACGCGGGCTAGGATCCCGCCACGGATCGGGTGTGGGGCCCGACGCCCGAACCAAAGTACGCAACATGGTGGCAATGGAAAACGGAAAATAGGCTGCAAACAAGTCATGCAGACTTCCCGAACACCGAGGGCAAGACACCCGAGTGCCGCAGCTCCGCCACAGGAATCTACCGCACACGGAGGGCCCGGGTAGCCGGTGGTACGAGTCAGAGGAGAGCCTGCGCAGACAGTCAGCAGGGGCGGTCCCTGCCTGCACAGTCTCACCATCACACAGCGTCAGCAGGGGTCTGGGCGCCGCCTGTTCGATGTCGCTGGCGTCAGCTGGCGTCGGAGACGAGCCGGCGGCGGCGCAGCGTCGTTAGAGTCCGACGTGGCGGAGGCAATCCGATAACCGGCCGCCGGATAACGCAGCGCCGGACCGCGGCCGGTCTTCACACTGACCAGCGACCGCTGGTGGCTCCGCTGGTGACTGCTAAGCTTAGCTCGGGGACAGCTCAGCTTAGCCGGCATTGACAGCTCACTCAGCCGCGTCGCCCCGCACTCATGGCGAGCCTCGATCGCGCAGCCCGGTAGCGGCGGCGGCGGCGGCGGCGGCGGCGGCGGGCGCAAGGACCCCACTTCACTCGGCCGCGTCGCCCCGCACTCATGGCGAGCCTCGATCGCGCAGCCCGGCGGCGGCGGCGGCGGCGGCGGGCGCAAGGACCCCACTTCCGGCGCGCTGCGAGACAGGCCGACCCAACTCATTAACAACTTGGGCCCCACAACGACCACGCTGCTTCTACTCCTCAATGCCCGGGGATCTGCGACATGCCAGCACCTCCACCGACCACATCCACCGCTTGGCTGCGGCTCGGCCTGGCCTGGCCGCCCCTCCCAGCGGCAGCTTCGGCGGCGCGGCGGTCAACCCAGGACGACCGTCACCGCGTCCTAGCGCGCCGGAAGCGGCCGGCCGTTAGCCGGCGGCCGGGCCGGCGTCGCCACTCCCAGCCGGCCGCGCACGCTGCGTGCCGCGGTGAGTGCGGCCGGCCCGGCCCGGCCCGGCCCGGCACCGGTCGTGACCGCCATTCCAGGCGCAACCAGGCACAGCCGACCCACCGGGGCACTGCGGGTCCACCGGCGGCGCCTCAGGCGCACAGACAACGCTGCGGACGCAGTGCTCCTAGTGCAGGCCAACGGATGGTATTACAGCGTTACGGTAGTTATTATGTTCCTCACGGAGGCCACTGCGGGCAGACTGGCGGCTCAGGGCAAATGGCGCACCGGTCGAGCTGGTCATAAAAAAACAAAATACAAGATGCTCATCATGGTAAATGGATTATTGGATTGAAGGCCAGACAAAAAAAGAGAAGTTACACGACTGCACAGCGACAATATCTGGCCATCATTAAAAAACGAACGGAAACAGCTTTCTTCCCAAACAGAGGCGATGACTACGTTTCATGCAGCCCCAGGTGCGAATGTGAACAGCCCCGCCCACCGACGTAGCGAATGGCTGCGTTCTGATTCGGCACATTCCAGCCAAAGACGCCGTCACGAAGCTGGCCGTTTCTCACAACGCGTCGCTTGCGTCCCTGTGGATGAACTACGTTCATCTTGTGTCCCCTGCAGCCAGTCTGGAGCGAGTACGGGCTTCACCCCCCAGCTGCCGGCCAGTCCAAGCGTCCAGCACCGACCGCCGACGAGAGCAGCCATCAGCCGGGCCCCATGGCGGGCCGGGTCACTGGCGGCGGGGCTGGCCGGCCGCAGCAGCGACGATGGGGTCAGGGGTCGGCCGCCAGGCCCGCAGAGCGCCCGGTCCGGGTCACTGGCCGGGCGTCGGCGCTCAAAGCCCGGCAGGCGGCGCCGCCAGCCACCGCCAGCCGCTCACTCACCACCCACGGTGAACAATGACCACGCCACCAACACATTTCACTGTTATTTAAGTTTCTGATGGGTCGCCACGTCATTGACGAGCCCTGTTGACTGTCCTGAGCGGGCCCTTTGGGACCAGTATTCCCAAGTGGAGCATTCTTACACACATCGCCGATGGTGTTAAAACCAGCGGTCCTCGAATAATTATGTTTGGCAAGCTCGGAGCTCTTTAACAAAGACCAGCCAGGCAAGGCTGTACAGGACTGCGTTATGAGACCAGCTCCAGGTTCACAGAGAATCGCTTTCCGTGTCGGGTCTAGATCAGAACAGCTCCGGCCCCAACTCCAGGCAGGTACCCGGTGCCCAGTCCAGATCAGGTCAGCGCCGGCGTCCGGTCCAGATCAAGTCAGCGCCGGTACCCAGTCCAGGCCTGGTCAGTGCAGGTACCCTGTCCAGACCAGGTCAGTGACGGTGCCCAGTCCAGATCAGGTCAACGCCGATGCCCGGCCCAGATCAGGTCAGCGCCGTCGCCCAGTCCAGACCAGGTCAGTGGCGGTGCCCAGTCTAGACCAGGTCAGTGCCGGTGCCCAGTCCAGATCAGGTCAGCGCCGGTGTCCGTTAACTGGCGCACGTATCGCGCTGGGCGGCCGTGGGCCCTGGGCCCAGGTATCGGCTCTAGGTCACGGCAGGCGGCCATTCGACCCGGTCAGCGAGCGCAGACAATAGACACGCTCTGGCCGCCGTGACGCCACAGAGGCGGCGGTCCGGGTCGGCGGCGCGTGCCACGCAGAGCGGCACGGCCGGGCCGGCTCTAACCTCCGGGCCAGGCCGGCTATAATCTCCGGGCCAGGCCGGCTCTAACCTCCGGGCTGGGGCCGGCTCTAACCTCCGGGCCAGGCCGGCACTAACCTCCGGGCCAGGCCAGCTCCAACCTCCGGGCTGGGGCCGGCTCTAACCTCCGGGCCAGGCCGGCTCTAACCTCCGGGCTGGGGCCGGCTCTAACCTCCGGGCCAGGCCGGCTCTAACCTCCGGGCCAGGCCAGCTCTAACCTCCGGGCTGGGGTCGGCTCTAACCTCCGGGCTGGGGCCGGCTCTAACCTCCGGGCTGGGGCCGGCTCTAACCTCCGGGCTGGGGCCGGCTATAACCTCCGGGCTGGGGCCGGCTCTAACTTCCGGGCTGGGGCCGGCTATAACCTCCGGGCTGGGGTCGGCTCTAACCTCCGGGCCGGGCCAGCTCTAACCTCCGGGCTGGGGCCGGCTCTAACCTCCGGGCTGGAGTCGGCTCTAACCTCCGGGCCAGGCCGGCTATAGCCTCCGGGCCAGGCCAGCTCTAACCTCCTGACCAGGCAGGCTCTAACCTCCAGGCCAGGCCGGCTCTAACCTCCGGGCTGGGGCCGGCTCTAACCTCCGGGCTGGTGCCGGCTCTAACCTCCGGGCCAGGCCGGCTCCAACCTCCGGGCCAGGCCAGCTCTGACCTCCGGGCTGGGGCCGGCTCTAACCTCCGGGCCAGGCCAGCTCTAACCTCCGGGCTGGGGCCGGCTCTAACCTCCGGGCCAGGCCGGCTATCGAGCGCCCGCGTACGAGACCCTTTTGCTTTCGCCCCTCATACTGGCTGACATCAATGCCCCTGCGCCGGAGTCGCTGACGAGCGGCCCCCTCCCCTTGAATATGAAACGGCGTGCAGTAGGGTGGAGAGCCGCGCACGCGGAGAGCATCGCACCAGCCGTGCCACGCGGCTTTCAAAGCTCGCCAGCACGTTCCGTGAAAAGGGCGGTCTGTACAGGGCGACTTTACCCGGCAACCGGTCGCAGGTCTTAAAAGCGGGTGAGCGGACGGCTTTTCCAACCTCAGAGGCATTCGTCTCGCACATTTAAAGGATGCCTCCGCATGCAGAGTCGTGCTGAGCCACAATGCAGCCAAACTTGGCAGCAGTGGGCCCCTTGACCCACGAAACCAGCGACCGACGCGAAAGAAACGCTCGTTCAAACAGTGGGCCCTAGAATTCGGGTGGATGTTTGAGCCCTCGTTTCCTGACAGGACACCTGACGTGCACTGCACTGACATGCGTCGCGTTTGTCGCGTAATATCCCGTCCTCCTGTGCCACGGACAAATGTTCGTGTTGCGTGGCCAACACTATCGGGATTCCGTATGCTGCGGTGCGCTGAACGAAAACAGAAATACCTCCTACAAAGAAATCCATCCTGTGCCCACGCGCTGCGCCTAAAGCTATCTACTCAAGACGACGACGAAGTAAATCCTACGCGCCATTGATCTCCCCCGCCTCCTCCCCCCCCCCCCCGCGAGGGGGCCAGATCGACAGCGCGGCAGCCGGCGGCGATGCCCCGTGGGGAGGGGAGGGGGAGGGGGAGGGGGAGGGGGTTGGGGACCGGCCGGCGTCTGCACTCACCGCGTCGGCCCGATGTCTGCTGCCGGGGCGAGACCTGACTGGGGCGTCCGTCGGACCGCGCTGGCCTCCTCTGGAACAGACGGAGCGAGGTGAGGGCGGCACGGGGCCAGCTGCACAGCTGCCCGGCTACACAGCGGTAAACAGGCGGGACGGGGCCAGCTGCACAGCTGCCAGGTTACACAGTGGTGAACAGGCCGGACGGGGCCAGCTGCACAGCTGCCCGGCTACACAGCAGTAGACGGACTGCAGTTCAGGCGTGAGCTGTAGCCAAGCACGCAAGGAGAGCATGGTCCTGACTCCCGTCGTACGCCTGGATTTCACAGGTATTGTGAATGGCAGAGCTAGGGTCGCCGGCCTGGCGGGTGGTATGCCGCAGCGCCGGCCAAGGGCCGATGAGCCGCTAAACCACTTAGGTATATTGCCTATGCGAGGCAGGGAAGTGCCCTATATGACGGACGATGGGTGGCGCACATGAGACGGATCCACGATGGTCTGGAAAACGGACAATCACAAACGAGATGTTCTCTGGCGATCCAAGTGCGTGAGGAAAGGAAGGCCTGCCAGTCAAAAGAAACCCCCGGGGCGGACCGAGTTCCCAGATTCTCGTGGAGTTTTCTCGAAACACCACCCGTGTCAGGCGGAAAAGGTCCTACAGTGCCGGGTCGAACCTCTCAAAATCCGGCGAAGCCCGGAGACCTCACGTCTTGCTCGTTCTAGTGGTCACATATGGATAACACAGGGCAGCAGAATGGATCCTGTACAGAAGCACTTTACACAAAAGCTATGTGCGCACGTGGCACGTACAGTGCACGGCCGCCCATGAAGGAATGCCGCGACAGCTGACCTCGTCAGCGCCCAGGGAACGTGGCGGCGCAGCAGCCGGGAGCATTCTTATCACCGTAATCAAGAACATTTCTAGTGATACCGTTCACTTCTTGCGGCACTCAAGGCCAAATGACACGGCCGCGTTAGATAAGTCGAAATGTCCCGGCTTCAGTGCCGAGAGCGCTCCCGACGGAGGCAGCTACTCGGAGCACACGCCGCACGGCCACCGAATCCCACGGTCAGTTCCATCCCAGATTGGCCCACTATAGGCGCTCCTAATTACTGTGCGCCTATCCTGCGCTCCAAATACGTAATTTGGGGGCATTCCATAGATATCCATACGGCTATTTGCAGCAGTTGTTACGCGTTAACATGCACAGCGTGTGCGGGTTGAGATCACGGAGCGACGTCTGTCACGCCACCTGAATTCGGAATACACATGTTTTGTAAGAGTTGTTTACTGAAAGGTGGTAGCTTCGGTTCTTTCGTCATGCCTTCTCCTCTGAGCAGTCCTTACATGGCAGGGCGCCACGTAAAAAAAAAAATGGTCACTATGACGTCGATCAACTCCAATTATCAACATACAAGATTATTCCCGTGCATGTTCTACATAGTAACTTCAGTGGCATTTCTTTTCTCATTCACCACTCCGTCATAAATATTCGCAACGTCCCGTTTTTCCAGAGCATACTGCGTGCATTAGCCATGAGAGTATAGAGTACATTAGCCAAGTATACGCCTGGCAGGAGCCTGACCGGGTTTTCACACAAGCCGCGGAAGGGGGTCCCTTCTGCGGACAGTCTGGGCGGCCGAGGAATTCCTGGGTGCATATAGTCTTGCTTCGCTTAGCCTCACTACACTTCACTTTTCCACATCCCAAAGTACTTAAGTGGCGCTTCAGGCCGAAAGGACTCTAATCCCAGCGAAACGAAACTCAATGGTAGCGGAGCCGGTGCTATAGACGTGTAAACACTAATATCATCTAACAGCACAAAATGGCGATGACACAAAACGCCTATTCCATTCAATTAGCCACATGACGCATGGGCAGTAGGCATGCCATCTCCTGTCACATCTTGTCGGGGCATCCGCGCACTCCGCCGACATTTCGTCCGAACTTCCCACGTTCGTGTTCCGACTAGCGTCAGACTTCCGACGATGACTCGCCGAGCCCGGCGCGAGGCGGCGGGCCAGGTGCTGTCGGCGCGCTGCCGTCCGGGGCGGACGGCGAGCGACGGAAGCCGTCGCGACGAGCGGCCGCGTGAGACAGCCGGCCGTGGCACGACACGCCACTTGCCTGACCACGTACCGTAACGGACCACCATTTACCGGCGCCGGGCCTCCTCGAGCGCTGCTGGAGACGACCGACTCCGAGCCCGCATCGCACGCGCGCGCGAATATCCCGGTGTCAGCACCCACACCAGCTCTGAAGCCGCTGTGTCCCGGCTCTGCTTGCGAGGCGACAGTGCGATCATGCCATCAGACGTCTCTACAGCCTTGCGATGTCATTTGCCTTCACAGTGCGGAGCGTAACCTTGGTTTGCCCGCAACCAGCCAGCACAAACACGAAGCTGTGTTACCCGTGAATATCTGGTGCCATTAGTATCAGATGTCTGGCGACTACCACTGGTGGTATTAGATATAGATGCGGTGTCAGCCAGTACTGAGTCACCCAGCATTACTTGTACTGAGTTGCCTTGGTGTTTGCCGCACATATCGAATGACACGATATCTGTAGTGCTAGCGATCAATACACGTGTTTTATCTCATCGAGAACCTCATTCGTCCGGACTTGGCCCTGACAGCAACGCAGGTGGTCAACTACCGTCATTGATTTAACCCAAGACGTGACCACGACTACGAGTTTCACATTGGTGGTGGTGCTGTGCTGCACCGGCGGGTCGGACCACACGCTGTCAGCGGCGGCGGCCCGTGGGCCTCTGAAGACCCACAGCGCCGCAAAGCAACAGGCTAGTGTTCGTCACGACGACCACGCAAGCCTCCCATATGTCCCGACGGCTGACGCGGTGACAAATGAACGCGTGGTACTGCGGTGGCGAGGGCCGATGTACTGACGTCCGGCCTGCCGTCGCCACCCCTCCGTCCAATCGACAGGTGCCGGCCTCAGGGACTGCTACAAAGCCTGCCGCGCCGCGCCGGGCCATCTATTCTCCGCTCTCATTATCCTCTCATTATCTCGACCGAGAGGTGGCGTACGACAGAGGCGTCACCGCGTCGTCCGACAGCCAGAACGCACAAAGCATCAGCGCCGCCATTGTCGCAGCAGCGACGCCATCCGGTACAGTGCCCGAGCGCAGAACCGTGCCGGCCCGTCTGCGGGGTCCCTCGCTGCGACGCTTGTGCCGTCCGATGAGGCACCTGCCCTCTCCGTCCGTGCTCTCACCGGGAATCCTAACCGGGTCAAGGTCAGGTGACGTCACAACTGGTCCTTCTGTGACCCCCCAGGTGACGTCATAGCTGACCCTGCTGTGACCCCCCAGGTGACGTCATAGCTGACCCTGCTGTGACCCCCAGGTGACGTCATAGCTGGTCCTTCTGCGACCCCCAGGTGACGTCATAGCTGACCCTGGTGTAACTCCCGGGCGACGTCATAACTTGGCCGTGATGTGACCCCCCGGTGACGTCACAACTGGCCGTTCTGACACCGGCATGACGTCATGGCTGGCCGTTCTAAGACCCCCACGCGACATCATAGTGACCCCCAGTGATCCCCATTTGTGACCGCAGGTAGCGTCATAGCTGACCCTGCTGTAGCCATCAAGTGACGTCACAGCTGGTCCTGCTGTGGCCCTCCCCCGGCGATGCCATAACTAGCCGCGCTGCGATCCCCAAGCGACGTCATAGCCGGCCGCGCTGTGACCCCGGTGACGTCATAACTGGCCGCGCTGTGAAGTCAGGTGACCGCGCATAACCTCAGTGGCGCCAGAGCTGCTCGAACCACGCAACGAGGCAGGCATTGTCACCGCTGCCCGTGCCGCGACCTCCAATGATGTGCCATCTGCCCATGCCGTGACCTCCGATAAAGTGCCAGCTAGTCAATCCGCGGCACGAGTCGGCTGACGTCACGTCTGGTCGCACACAACCTCCAATGACGTCACACCCGGCTGCGCCGTGACCTCAGTAGACGTCACAGCCGGCCGCCCCATGCCTGGCATTCCGTGGCGTACCCGCGTTGCCCGGCTGGTCTGCACGGGCTGACGCCCCTGACCTTCAGGCGCCACGACAGGAGCCTCGTGGTCTTGTTACCTGTGATGGGTGCCTTCCGTTCCTCCCTGCCCCGGCGCACGACTGAAGTGAAGCTTCTAACACCCGCAGCTCGACTTCACACGACCGGCGACGTGGCGCGCCCTCCGCCACATCCCCCGACGGCACGCACCCGCGCACCACCCCCGGCCCGCACCTGCCCGACTGGCAACGGTCAGCCTGGCTACCGGCCACCGGCCGGCCCACGGCCGCCTAGCCAATCAGAGAGTGTGCAGCGGTCTCTACCGGACTCCACCGACTCTACCGAAGCGTAGCGGGTGGTGGGGCCCCGCGACGGATAAAACGGCAGGGAAACCTATGCAACGGACAAAGAGCGGAATGACAGCTTATAAACAAAGCTTGGAGGCTGGTGCGGTTCCAGTGGTGCATTCAGGTGCGGGGTAGGGGTGGGGTGGGACATGGGGCCATGGCTCCCCTTGGGCCGAATGGGCACCAAGATGCTCAGGTTGTGGTGAAGGGGCAACCAAATCTTCATGCGGGCTCCACACCTTATTTTCAAGAAGCACCGAAGTTCAGAGGCGCAACAAACGGCGCCACATCTTCCCAGTTCAACATAAGAAAATAAAAAATTGACCTCTGGAGATGAAGTGGACTTGATCCGGCGGACCATTCCAGCGGAGGACATTTAGCCGAGCAAAAAATAATCTAAAAATAAAGTGGCTGCAATCCGGGCCTTTTCTGGGGGGGGGGGGGGGAGGGGGCAACAAGTTTAAGGGAAAAGCAATGAAACGTGACCCTTCCATTGACAAAACCCTGGATCCTCCCCTGTGCAGTTCATGGCCGGTCAAAAAACTTGTCAATGAGCATCGCGTTGAAAAATTGTAACCGCTAACCAATCAGGAAAGTCAAGATGATGACCTAGATGTGGCGTCAACTGCACCATCACAATCGCCGTAACCTGTCTGTTGTCGCTACACGCAAGACAAGAATGGGGCACTCCTCAAAAGCGGCGGACCAATG